ACGTATATTTATTTGATCATTAATTTGATTCAATTACCATCATCTTTTTATTAGGTAAATATTTTATTGTAAGTAAATATTTACTTTAGTACTATTTAAAGAAATATGTATTAAGGTCAGTAATTTTTTTTAGTGTAAACAATTGTTATTATATTTGTATAATATATATTGTTAATTTTATATAATTTAGCTATTATATAATAAACATCAATATACAAGGGACGTGTATATTATATTATATATATGTATATGTATGTATACGAGCATACCGTGAAATATTAAATATGCACGAAATCATTATGACTCTACATCTCTGTATTTACGTGATGTAGATACGTGTTTCAGCATGTTAACCGTGAAATTCGTTTTTTTTTTATAGTTCCATTGTTGTGGCACAATCAATGCTACCGACTGGTTGACGAATACAACGAAACTGCCAGGTATTCCGATGTCGTGCTGTGATGATATAATAGGTGCTATCGGTACATCGAACTGCACCCTATCATCGAAGAGTCTGCATGAGGTCGGCTGTATAGACGCCTTCGGGAAATTTGCAGAGACACACGCTGCTAAGATAGCAGGTGTTGGAATAAGCCTTGGTATAATTCAGGTATTTTCATCAGTATCATTATATTAGATTTCTCAAACTTTACCTCATAGCGTTTCGAAGTCCGATAAACGAGTAACATTCACGTTTTATTAATACAAGAATGGAATAATTAATGTTGCAGCTGATAGGAATCCTCTTGTCGTCCTACTTGGCTAAATCGATCAAGAATTGTTACCAGACTATGTAGAGTGCCATGCGAACATCAAACGCACCGGAAGCAGCCTTCATATGGATGATAACCAAATAGGATTGCCATTAGGAAACTGCGAAACTGCGTGCATTAATTGGTCTGATATATTGTACGAGAATACATTATTTGTCCTTGTATAAAAGGACGGTAAATTATTTTTGCTACATGTGACATTTCGCATCGCGTTATAAAGAAGCGTGTGTATTTTTAATAAAACCTTTATATCGCTAAATGTTTTTGCGACAATGCGTTTATCATTTTTGATTAAAATGCGTCGTTAATTCAATTCGCATTCTCTTATATTTACGCAGGAATGAATTACACAGAATAAGCAATCACATATTTTAGGAAAATCTCTTTTTTGCAATCTACAATAAATTTGTTTCTTATAAGCTTTTGCAACATGTGAATTTTAAACCAAAAAATTGGAACATGCGCGTATCCGACAGTTATCATGCACGCGCATCAAACTACACACGTGCTATTCACGCACACGCATGCATACCGAGAGACATGAAATTAACTTAATTGGCATGTGAGTCATTTTTGTCGCGTTGTTTTGCTCACGTGTAAACGCCACGTGTAAACTCACGCTTAGCAACGAACACGAGAACGAATGTCTCTTTCCACGCCCATTAATTTTAAAATTTTGATTCGATATATTCGATCGCATTAAATATTATATTTTATATATATAATACATATATGTCTATATATACTAAGAGATATATAAGTATATATTATATACGAGTATGTATATATTTTTTTAAGTGAATGAACTTAAACGTGTCTAATTAAATTCCGTACAGATTCTTAAAAAATAATGCATATATATAATGCATTTAAAAATATTGCATATATATAATGCATGTATATAAATATTCCCAGTAAATGCAAAGTTACGTGCAACGTGTGTTATATTATTAAATAGGAAATCACAACAGGTACGTTACATGTAACTTTCGTGTTTACGCTGGGTTATGAATATATACCGACCTATATATACCGTAAATATTCGAATATTCATTGGTGCGTCATAATGCTACAGGTATATCGCTTTGTCATGTTTTTCTTCACACTATCGCGAAAACTTCCTTATTTCCTCCCACTCTTCCTCCTCTCTCTCTCTCTCTCTCTCTCTCTCTCTCTCTCTGTCTCTGTCTCTCTTTCTTCTCTTCGTCAGACTCCGTGTTCTAAACAAAAACCCCAACGCTAGCATTGGTATCGCACAAGCTGTTGCCGTGCGCGATCGTGCGTTTTCGCGACTCGTTATCGGCCAGTAGATAACGCTGCAGACCAACGCTTCAACGTTGGCATTGGCAATCGGTGTGTTAGCTGGAAGTGTGAAGGTGCGCGATACCGCTCGCTGTGCATCTGCGCCCGGAGGAGCCAACGCGAGGCAAAATGGCGGCCACGCACCTAGACGTCGGCCTCCGCTGCATCAAGTACCTGCTGTGCGCGGTCAACTCTCTCTTCGTGGTCTGTACTATAATGCGAACGGCGTTTATCGTCTCGCGGAATATAATCTCTTCACCAATTCATCTCACTCCGCGATGGATTCCTCGCGTTAATCGAGGAACAATCGCGCGACAAGTCGCGCTCGACTGTCGACGACGTTCTCTCCGTCTCGACTCTATGCGTTCGATCAAAACATAGGGAAAAAGTAAAAAAAAAAAAAAAATACCGTTGCCTTTTCGTGACTCGAGGAATCTCGTTGAGAATCTCGAAAGACGCGAAATAAGACCGAGGACAACGTCACGAGGCAAGGCGTTGTCGCGTCGTGAGTCCGTCGAAAGATATGTATATTGTTGAAGTACGAGATAACGTCCGTCGTGCATTATGACTCTTCAAGTACGCACAAAGTCATCGCCAATGACTGCGACGAATCGCACGTTATCGAGGCTCATCGGAAAATGTATTATTGCAACACAAGCCCGATTAGGTGCAATTGCGCGTCGTCGTAGGCCAAGTGTCCTTACCTAGACCGCGATGTACACTCATCCATAATTATCGATTGCTATTATACCGACCGTATAGATGATGTCTAAACGTAAAACAAGAGGTTTCGATCTCTGCGCTGAAAAATACTGTCAATTGTTGCTTTTGACAATCGTCAAAGAGTCATACACTTGTCAAATTAAGACGAAATTTATCCATAAAGAATAAGTATTTTATCCTTAAAATTTGTTATCTATGTAATATACATTATAGTATGTATTTATATAATACATTATATATATGTATAAATATATGTATATAATATATACTTATAAATTTATAGAAAACGCAAATTGTTTATCGATATTAATTATCACACGGTTATCAATTTTGTTCGAAATATTTATCATCGATGTCTGCTAGCAGACATTCTGATAACGTAAATAACGATTAATGTCGGGGTAAAGAATGACTCAGATATTCATTTTTCGCATATACGTGGCAAGCATCCTTGCGTTCGCAGCAAAATTTAAAAATCAATATTATGTTATAAGATAAAAATCATATATTGTTATAAGATTGCAGTTTAATAACATTTAGATTATTCAAAATTTATAATTTTCGGTATAAACAAATTGGAGATGGCGTATTAGATTATTTATGCCATGCGTGGAAGTAAAAAAAAAATATTTATAAAATACGATGTGCTGTGTTGAAATAAAATAACGTGAACGATACGAAGGGCAAGTGTCCCCTATCGATGTTTATTATGTCCTTTGTTCTGTCGGCTTACGAAGAAAGCGATGTGGGCCATGAAGTTCGAGTTTCATTGTTAGAGAGAAGCACTTTTGAACTGCGGTCGATATTACATAGACAAGGCTATGCACTGCTGAATTATTAGAGATGGACGAACCTGTACAGCTGCACAACCCGATTAGCACTGTACACATATAGATATATATATATATATATATATCAATTAAACAAAGAAGTAGTAATAAGAACAATTCTTCATGATGTTATTGCGAAATGTACAGATAATAGATAGCGAAGATTATCGCAAATAAATCGGTTTGATGCTCGTCAGAAATGTATTGTCTGGCATATAGAAACACTTATAACTTATCAGACTTATGCAAATTTCTAGTCTCCCGCTGTATGTGAAGGAAAACATGCTTGGAAAAGACAGTAATTTTGCAGCAAGACCTTGCCTCGACCTTGACATCCGAAATCTCGAATTGACGATATAAAAACCGTTCTATTGTTCTCAAACAGATAAAACGCAATACCAGAAAAACATATTTCAAATGTCCTGCGTTGTAACACATCTATACTTACGGGATTTTGTGGTCGCTCTTATCGGTATAGATAAATTTATCTTCATAATCAATGATGTCGGGATAATATGATTTTAACAAAGTATAAATACTTTAGTACATGAGTATGGAACAAAAAATTTTAAAATTACGCAAACCAGTGCAGGTGTAAAGAAGATCTTGTTTGATCTTTGATTTCATTGTATTGTAGCTGACAGGAGCAAAAATAAATTCCACGATATATCATTTATTGACAGATCATCGATATCTTATCCGAAGTATTTACTTAAAAATTAAGTTGTAAAAGCCACTCTTAATACGTCATTATATTTCTCGACAACCCGTGGAAATATATTTGAAACGATTTCATATCTTATTTCGGTTCTTCAGTGAGAATTAAGGTAGACTCACACATAGACGTGTAAGGATTACAAGAGAGCGGCTTATCGTAGAAAATTACACGGCCCGCTTTGTAGAACAAATAGAGACCGATGGCAACGTATATGTACATAGTGATATGCTTCACAAAAGTGTCGTACCCTCTTTCCAATCTAAAAAGTTTACATTTGAGCGAGGACGCATGTATTATATAACTAATGTCAGAGAAACCACGTATTACGGAAATGATCGAAATACTCACATGTACAATGAACATATATTATGTTCAGTATATTACAGATTCTTTCGTTCACAGATTATATGCGATGCTGCATATTTAAATTGACGCTATAAGCAGAAATAATAATACATGTATAGGCTGCTAAAAATCACGAAATATTACAATAAAAGTATAGAAATAAGGAAAAGATTCTTATAAACATGAATATATTAAAATTTTTTTTAAGAAATTAAAAGAAATAATGAGAATTAAATCTTCATAGATAGTAACATAAATAACAAATACTTTTGAGTCAAACTTAATGTTATTTAAAGATATTCTAATATAGCCCTTAATTAACATATTAACATACTTAGCTTCTAGATAGTAGTGGGTTTTGTCTAATTAAAATGTAAAAAATATCCATCATATTTTTGTTAGAAAAGACTTTATCGACTTTAAATTTCAGCCGAATAATCCTTAGATGAAGTTTATACATGTCTTCAACATTCTGTAGTTTATTAACAATTGTTTAATATATCAGAGAAGCGAAGATTTCTCGTAAAAATTAATGATATAATGAGAACAATAGTTAATTGCGATTAACATAATATATAGTAAGATTATCCTTTTATTACAGTTGACGGGGGTTATGATAATATCGGTCGGCACGACGATCTACGCTGTTTATGAGAACTTTTCGCATTTTTTGGATACAAGCTATTTTTCACCAGCCACTGTCTTAATCGTGGTTGGAATACTCGTCTTCATAATTGCTTTTATGGGATGTTGCGGCGCACTCAGGGAAAGCACCTGTATGGTCCTTGTGGTAAACGACAATCAAATATCGTATTTCTGTTTCAAATATCCTCTTTCCGATATGCGTATTACATTTATGTACTTCTAGTTTGCATTTTTGCTGTCTGTTGTTTTGATAATGGAACTCGCCGCCGCTGTTGCTGCGTATGCCTTGCAAGACGGTATCAAGGATCTTTTGGCTGAGAATATCAAGATGACGATGCATCAATACGAAAAGAACGAAGAAGCCAAATTCGCAATTGATTTTATGCAATCTAGAGTAAGATAATTGATTGTTTTATGGATAAAAAATATAAAAAATCCATTCACATAACTGACATTGATCACACTCTACATAACAATTGAATTGGAAATAACATAACGTTTTTGAGATATAACGACTATTATTTACAAAGAAAGAAGTATTGTAAAAAATGATTGATTTTATTTTTTTATTTTACAGTTACGTTGTTGCGGATATAATAGCTATCTAGATTGGAACTACGTATCGTTTAATAATACGCATATAGATGTACCTGATTCTTGCTGCGCATATCTAGTGGATGAGCTTTCAGATCGCTGTTATGGGAAATATCAAGAGGGCTGTATCAGCCGCCTTTCTATCATTATTCATCGTAGTGCACTATACATCGGCACAGGAGCTGTAGCGATTGCCCTTATTCAGGTTAGATTAAGCTTTTTTTTTTTAACGTAATTCTAATCCCATTTCTTGCACTTTAAAATTGATTTTGACACGAAATCGCTGATACTATCAAGAAGTATTATACTTGCAGGATAAACTACAATTCTGAAGAGTAATTTATCTAAATGATAAATCTACATAATTGTTTCTCTCTTTCCAGCTAACGGGAATCATGTTCGCGTGTATGCTTGGCCGAGCTATCAGGCGTCAAAAAACAGAAAGAGAGAGGCGTCGTTGGGAATTACGAGAGAATCTAGTGAACGGTTACGAACCATTGGGAAAATCGGATCCCATAACTACGTTTCCCATAGTGTACATGGCGCCAGACTATCCACTGAAAGGCGATCAGAAATGTTAATATTTTGATGTAAAAATCAAGTAACTGTATAAAACCGTATTTTTTTATGTTTCCCGGATTCACAAAGAAATTTACAAAAATTTAGTAATGAAGAGAGAAATAGAGAGAGAAACTATTTTTTTAACAAAATATAAAAGCTTGTGAGAATATTTATTCTTGATTTTTACGTTTATTTTTATGATAGAGCTCAGCGAGTGACCGTCGGACAGCACAAAAGAAAAATAGTACTTACTACCAAATAATTATCTGATTAATAATATATAATTTAATATATTTTCTTAGAGTAAATATATATA